GGAGTATAGTAAAATAATCATGAGTCGGAAAAAAAACTCCATATCAAGATAGTCTGTTATAAATGTCCTCTCGTTCTAAACAGGCCTTATTGCATAATACAAGTCTTATCATGAACTGTTTTAGAATTCAGAGCAGACGAATATTTTTTAGCTGAGAATATGAATATCGCTGTTTGTTATTCCACTACACACACATGCATACTCGCTCTCAACAATTAAATAATTTGTACATAACAGAATAAAAATAATATTAATATTATTTTAGTTACATCGTTCAATCAACCAATATTTGGTGCATATGCTGCTTGGAATAATGTTAGTATTACTTTTGCAAATAGTAGTACAGTTGGCACAAGTCCATATGGAATTTTCGTAGATACTAACAATACGGTTTATGTAGCCAATCAAGCAAGCAATCAAATTCAAATATGGTTATCGGGAAGTAGTATACCTACAAGAAATATTACCACTGGTCTTACTTCTCCATATAGTATCTTTACTACCATCACTGGTGATATTTATGTCGATAATGGATATACAAATAATAGAGTCGATAAGTGGGTATCAAATCGAAATACAAGTAGTTCAGTAATGCAGGTTCAAGGTGCATGCTATGATCTCTTTATCGATGTTAATAATACTCTTTACTGTTCATTGTATACTCAAAATCAAGTTGCTATAAAATCATTGAATGGCAATTCAAGCATGTGGATCGTTGCTGCGGGTACAGAATGTTCTGGATCAACTTCAAATGCACTTAGTAATCCTCGTGGAATCTTTGTTGATACAAATCTCAATTTATATGTTGCTGATTGTGGAAACGACCGGGTGCAATTATTTTTATCTGGACAAGTAACAGCAACGACAGTAGCAGGAAGTACAGCTACTGGAACTATCTCACTTGATTGTCCTAGTGATGTTGCGCTTGATGGTGGTGGATATCTTTTTATTGTAGACAGCAATAATAATCGTATTATTGGTTCAGGATCAAATGGCTTTCGTTGTATAATTGCATGTGCGTCTACCAGTGGTTCAGCATCCACTCAATTAAATAGTCCGTCGACTTTTAGTTTTGATAGTTATGGAAATATATATGTTACTGATCAAGGCAACAGTCGAGTGCAAAAGTTTCTTATAACAAGTACTTCTTATAGTAAGTACAATAGAATCTTCTCTTCTCATTATCGAACAAGTAAGATAAAATATTAGAATATTTTATCTTACATTGCATTTTCAAAATTCTCATTTCAACAAAGACGCCGTACTACGCTGCTTAGATAGCTGTAGTATCGATGATATGAATAGTAATTTGACGAATAAAGATTAAAAGTGTCTAAAATATCGAGTTTTAAAGTCATACCATCCATTGAAGTTACTCGCGACTTACAATCTTGCGCATATATGAGTAAGTGAGCTGACATCTCTCTATATTAGCTTAGATTGAAACCTCTCTCACTGCATATTTCTTCTAAGTGAACAATCTGTTGAAATGAAAATGAAATGTTGCTTGAATTATTTGATCTCATATTAATGTTTTTTAGTATAAATTCCCTCTAATCTGATTGAATACAGCACATTTGTTTTATATTTCAGCAATACCGACCACCACGACCACTACTACTACTACGAGCAGCAGCAGCAGTACCACCACTAGCACTACTACTACTACCACCACTAAGACTACAAGCAGTAGCAG